TTAAACAAAATATAATTATTGTATATTGTGACGATCAAAGTTCAATAAATTTAATGAAAAATCTTGTGTTTCAAGATTGATCTAAGAATACATATAACTTCATAAGGGAAGTAGTTGTATAAGGTGACATAAGAATTTTAAAGATTGGTATTAAATTGAATCCTACAAATACCATGACCAAATATTTGCAGTTGCACAATTCAATTTCTATTTCGATTCAATAGGCAACAAAGTTCTTAATGTTATTGAGTTATTTTGTTCTATTTGTTTTAGTTGAAGTTTTTTATATGTTGATAAAACCTGGATCATGATAGAGATAAATGGTTATCGATCCATGTTTCATGATTTTGCAATTTTTTTTGGATTAGCATTGTTTTGTTTCAAATTTTGCTATTAGAAAATTGCAGCTGTCAATTCTTGTAAAACTGAAATAATTATTTTCATATATATATTCTGTTTTAGTTAGCTTCAGGCTTCTTTCTATAGCTAAATTGTATTCTTTCTCCAAAACGAAATAAAACATGAAATACTTTTAATTTATGGGTCTGCTTAGTTTTCTCAGTTGATACTTGATACTACTGCATTATGATTATTATGAAAGAAATTGCATCGATTAAGAAGTTCAGCTTGAGAGTAAACAATTTTATAATTGGCAAAAGCATACTCCATAGGCTCAGTGTCAGAACTTTTGAAACTAAATTGAGGATATGCAGCTTATAGCTGAAATTCCAACCAACCTTCTTTTATACTATATTGAAATTGTTTTTAGGTAGATTGAATAATATGCTAAATGTTCTATATAGCAGATCATAATACATGACTTGTTAAAACTTAAACGATTGAGAATATGATTTTGTACTAAAAAGTTGCTTTGCAAAGTAGAAAAAAAAGTTGTATCAAATGAAGCCTATATTGAGAATATGCTTGTAGCTAAACTTCCAACCAACCTTTTTCAAAACTATATTAAAACTATTTTAGGTAGACTGAAAAATAGGCTAAATGTTATATATAGAGATCATAACAACATCAAAGGTCAGAACTTAAAGGATTGCCTTGATATACAAACGTTGATTCCATCCTTAGATGTCATTAGATTTGCTTGAACTTTTAAGTTGTTATCTAGACACAAATAATGCATTAGAGAGAAAATATAGATCATAGAATTAAATCTCCATAGCTAGTCTTTTGCTACTATGAAGCTTACGGAATCCAGTTTCAACTAATTTTTAAAGAAGAAGCTACTTAAGGTGTGATTATTAAAAGCTAAGATAGGTGCTTGCCATATTAATGATGTCTATGATTTTAAAGTAATCCTACAAGAAAATTTTATTAAATTAAATGCATTACTAGAAGCTTGGGTAAATGTTCTATATAGCTGTTCATAATACATGACTTGTTAAAACATAAACGATTGAGAATATGATTTTGTACTAAAAAGTTGCTTTGCAAAGTAGAAAAAAAGTTGTATCAAATGAAGCCTATATTGAGAATATGCTTGTAGCTAAACATTCACCCTCTGTAAGCTAAGGTGGATTCAAATTTGTCCCCTTAGATAAACATTCACCCCAGGTCTACAAGGTCCCCTTGGACGAAGCAACCCATGACTGCCGACAAGGATCCTTCTGTCAGGTTGGGTCGACTACCTCATCTGACTAAGTAGACTAGGGACCATTATGGCCTGGGACGACGGAACCATGGGATCTTGATGGGGTCCATCATCCATTCCCCCACCATCCGCTTTAAGTGCAAGATGGTGAAATTTCTTGTTTTAAATATCAAATCTCCTAAATATTCAAACTTCCAATCTCAACTTCATGCTGCTACTATATGCCAGATAACATGTATACTCTATGTATCTAATTGACGACTAGCCTTAATCAAAAGTTCTCTCTCGTTATCGGGAGGGGTAATTAACAAGGTTTAAAATTGCGTAAATAAGCCTCGAGGCGTTTTTCGTCTGTGAGGCGAGGCGTAAGCCTCGAGGCGGTGTGAGGCGTAAGCCTCACCGACGAAGAATTGCGTAAATGAGAATTTAAGGGTTTTAGCAAGTAAAAAATAGCAAGATTCTAATCATAACATAAAACTCTAAATGTCATTAAAATTGGAGTAAGAAAATACCTGCAATAAAATTATTCTCCAAAGTACAAAACACAAAATAATAGTCTCAAAACTCTCAACAGTACAATTATAGAAGAAATATATATAATTCATCGATGGCCAATCACTAATGGGTCTTCAAGAGAATCTTCTACCTTCCTCTCTCCCTATAGAGTCCACATTCTCCAATCAAGACATGCACTCAATAATGAACAGAACTAAACATCTAACACTATTACAGTAAAGATAGATGAACATAGAAAAATATGTCCGAACTGCCCACCGGGGGTCAAAGGGGGTGCTGCCGCCTGGCGGGGATTCGAATCTTAGAAAAAATTTATTCGTAAAGAGTAATTTTGAAGATTCTATTTGTTTCTTGAAGTTCGTAAAGTTGTATTTATGGGAAAGATAACGCGAGTGGTACCTGAGCATGTACCTTAGCAGTACTGAGCATGTTACCTAGCGGTACTAAAGCAGTACCCTATCAAGGGCGAGCATAGTACCTGACAGTACACTACTTAGCTGTACCTGCATGCTCTGGCGAGGCGGTTACCACATTATGAGCATTCACCTCGCGTCCGACAAATACAGAGCAATACCTAGATGTACTGAGCGGTACTCGCTGAGCATATCTAGACGGTACTTAAGCATAAATTTGAGGCGGTTTAACGCCTCAACTAGAATTGCGCAAATATGGGCTACTGAGGCGACGCACATAAGTCCAAGTGAGGCGTACGCCTCTGCCAGGAGAGGAATTGCGTAAGCCTTGAGGCGGTTTTGGGTCAAATTGCGCAGAGGAGCTCCTCAAGGCGCGCCTCTTATTGCGCAATTTTAAACATAGGTAATTAACTATAGGGGCTTGCGCCTATAAAAAACCAGAACTCAGATCATAAAGTCCTCGTAAAATGAGGGCGAAATCTCTGGGTAGTGTCTTATCTACAAACCCATCTGCCTTCCAAAATTTACTCCAGAACTTATTCCGTTAAAATTCTCTCGCCAAAATAAAAACCTAAGCACTCAAGCGCGGCGAGGAGGCCGGGGCCGAATTTTTGGAGCCCACATCTCATAGCATGAAATATAGTCTTGTAGGATCATTTTACCTTCATTTAAGATCATTTACCTTGTTTTTATTGAAATTATATTAAGATGTTGAGTCATAAAAGAAGTGGGGCAGAGAAAGAACTCAGTAAAGTGCACTCAAGCTAGCGAGAGAGCCATTCAGGAGAAAAGGTGCTCACTTACAAAAATCCCTAGACAATGATAATTAAAACGCTTCATCTCGAAGAGATGCCTATCATGTTAGATATTTTATCCAATAAAGTTACAACCTTCCAACAAGCTTCATCCATTACCAGTGTGTGTCCATTTATTATTTGGGGGATAGATCTCATTGGGTCATTTTATCCCTCTAGAGAGGAATGAATAATCATTCGAATAAACACGAGTTAATAAAAATACCACCACCACTGGTCATAAAATTTATTCATTCTAAGAGTGCATTCCATAGGGGTGGTTATGCTTGATTATTAATGAAATCATGTGAGAAAATAAGTAAGCTTAATTGCTTTGAAGACTGCCTTGAACATCAATAGAAAATCTACAAACAATATTTGGTAGAGTACATATACTAAATAACAGTTCAAATCAACAATCAAAATAAAATAGATCGTATGTATAACCAAATGACTTAAATGTAAAAAGACATTCTGTAGAAGATTCGATTACATCCAATCACACAATCACAACAACTAACAAGATCTTATGGGAAGAGTGCTAAGAATAAATAGATGGAATATAGGAAAAAAATTGAATAGAAGTAAGGTCGTAGTTGATGTGAATTTGTAATAAATGATTAAACAATTTCAATCTCATGAAACTCAACAATATAATGAAATAAGTAAAATATTTAGTTTACAAGTGTATGACTTCAACTAGAATAAAAAAATTAGGCCAAACAAATAAAAACTTTCAATAGTAATGCTACCAAAAATATTAAAAGAAAAGTCAATAAGAAAATATTCTGGATTGCGTAATTAAGTCTCGAGCCTATAAGTGCATCTTCTATCTTGATCGGGTCCACCATCCTAAGTGTTTATCTTTATCTGTATGAGCATTGATTATTGAAGGATGTACTATAATAGGGTGAAAGAAGTGATCACAAATAGCTCATCAGAATCACTTAATGGAGAATGAAATTGGTGTGATGTAGAACTCGAGCATATCTATCCCTAATCTAGTGGATACATTAAAATTACGCTGAATGATAATTAGAGACTGATTTTATTTGATGTTAAGGAATGTATGTGACCTAATGGAAGTAGTTTGGGACTGAGCAGGCTTTGGATAGGTTGAATTCAAAAGGTGCTAAAAAGCTACTATGAGTTAGGGTGTAAGGAGTTTAGTCTATTTAAGTGGCTAGTTTAAAGTAGGTTAAAAAGACAGATAAGGAAGGGTTAACAAATGGAAAGAAGGTAATCATGGAAAGCATAGGATGTTAGAATGAATATGTAAATGGCTCTAGGGCAAGGGTTTGCAAGGGATTAAAATTAAAAATTGAAATTGCATAAACATCTCAAACAAAAATTTCATAAATAAATTAAAATAATAAGTTTTAAAATGAAAATATAACCTCTTTAACAAAATAACTTCAAACACTTGCCATTGAACTAATGCTATAGACTTTAGCTTTTTCAGTTGAACTAATGCTTCAACAAAAAAATTGAATTTTTTTAATCTAATACATTGAAAAGAACAATTCCACAAATCTGCTTCTTTAAAGTTTCATCAATTTGTTGGCTTATTTGTCATATCTAAAACATTGTTCTAAGCCGCTATAGAAGAAGAAAAAAATGTTCTAAGCTGCTATAGAATTGAAATTCACATGAATGATTGTTATATTCATGTCATTGACATTTTCGTGATCCATGGATGCCCTGAAAAAGTCCAAACAACAATACTAATTAATTAGTAACATTGATAATGCCAAATAAAAACATAGAAAAGTTTTTTTTTTGAAGGAAACACACTCAATACTTGCTCTGCTGAGAGCCTCATCACTGGATCTCTCGCAAGCATTTGTTCTATCAGATCTTCGGCTCCACGTGATAACCAGGGGAAGAATTCCTTGGGAAAGCAAACTGGATCTCCTTTCTTCACAGCAGCCACTATCTCTTCCACAGTTTCACCATTAAACGACAATGTCCAACCCAACAAGTATAGGACGACTCCAGCGCTCCACACATCCACCTTCTCATCGTAGGTTTCGCCGGCCATTACTTCCGGAGCAGCATAAGCAGGAGTTCCAACTTTCCCCTTTAATGTTCTTGTTCTCTTCTCGAAATGTGCTGCGCAGCTAAAATCAGCAAGAAGCAGACGACCATTGGAGCCGAACAATATGTTTTCCAGTTTTATATCGCGGTGTGCGATGCCGCGGCGGTGGCATTCTGCTATTGCTTGTACCAATTCGGTGATGAGGGCAGCAGCCTTCTTCTCGAAGAAGGCACCGTGGCTAGCAATGCGGTCAAAGAGATCTAGCCCAGGGCAGAGATCGAGGATGAGATAAACGGCGGTGAAATCTTCATAGACTTGGTGGATTTGGACCGAGTGTTGGTTCTCGGAAGCCGCGAGGAGCGTGAACTTGATCTCGGAGTAGACCAAGCGGCGGTTGAAGCAATCGGAGAACTTGTCGATTATTTTCACAGCGAAACCCTTGCCGGTAGAGACAGAGACGCATTGATATACTGTGCCGAACTGACCGCGGCCGAGCAGTTCTCCAAGGCAGTAATCGAGGTCGAAACTTTCGCCCATCTCTCTGTCTCTTTCTCTCTCACCAAATATGCAATTTTTTTTGGATAATGCTATCTGCGACTGAGATTCTCAGCGAGGACTGCGCAATGTGGAGCAAAGGAGAGCACAGGGGATGGAGGAATAAGTGAGCTCAGTTTAAATAAATTTTAGAAAAAAATTATTTGAACTGAGGGCTTTAATTTATTTAAACTGAGGGCTTTAAATTAAACTGAGGGCTTTAATTCTCCTTACTCATTCCTCCATCCTCTCTGCTCCATACTTCGCAGTTCTCCTCGCTGAGAATCTCAGTCGTAGATAGCATTACCCATAAAAAAATTTGCAGATTTGGTGAGAGAGAAAGAGACAGAGAGATGGGCGAGAGTTTCGACCTCGATTACTGCCTTGGAGAACTGCTCGGCCGCGGTCAGTTCGGCGTAGTATATCAATGCATCTCTGTCTCTACCGGCAAGGTTTTTATTCGTGAAAATAATCGACAAGTTCTCCGGTTGCTTCGACCGCCGCTTGGTCTACTCCGAGATCAAGTTCACGCTCCTCGCGGCTTCCGAGAACCAACGCTCGGTCCAAATCCACCAAGTCTATGAAGATTTCACCGCCGTTTATCTCATCCTCGATCACTGCCCTGGGCCAGATCTCTTTGACCGCATTGCTAGCCACGGTGCCTTCTTCGAGAAGGAGGCTGCTGCCCTCATCACCGAATTGGTACAAACAATAGTAGAATGCCACCGCCGCAGCATCATACACCGCGATAGAAAACCGGAAAACATATTGTTCGGCTCCAATGGTCGTCTGCTTCTTGTTGATTTTGGCTGCGCAACACATTTCGAGAAAGGAACAAGAACATAAAAGGGGAAAGTGAGAACTCCTGCTTATGCTGCTCCAGAAGTAATGGCCGGCGAAACCTACGATGAGAAGGTGGATGTGTGGAGCGCTGGAGTCGTCCTATACTTGTTGTTGGGTTGGACATTGCTGTTTAATGGTAAAACTGTGGAAGAGATAGTGGCTGCTGTGAAGAAAGGAGATCCAGTTTGCTTTCCCAAGGAATTCTTCCCCTGGGTATCACGTGGAGCCAAGGATCTGATAGAACAAATGCTTGCTAGAGATCCAGCGATGAGGCTCTCAGCAGAGCAAGTACTAAGTGAGTTTCCTTCCTTCAAAAAAAAAATTTTCAATGTTTTTATTTGGCATTATCAATGTTACGAATTAATTATTATCGTTGTTTGGACTTTTTTAGGGCATCCATGGATCATGGAAATGTCAATGACATGGGTATAACAGAGGAAATTTCAACTGTACAGCAGTTTAGAACATATTTTTTTTCTTTCTATAGCAGCTTAGAAGAATTTTTTAGATATGAGCAATAAGCCAACAAATTGATGATGAGATTTCAACCAAGCAGATAATGTGTAGAATTGTCCATTCTGTCAATGTTTTAGAAAGATTAAAAAAATTACAGTTTTTTTGTTGAAGCATTTGTTGAACTGCAAAAGCAAAACTTAAATAATTGCATTAAATAATATGTTTCCATTGTGTCTTAGTTGAGCTGATAATTTTTGGTGTTAAAGACGATTTTAAAGAAGAATATACGTACTTATTGTTGCTATTCAATGAAGTTTGCAATCTTTCTATTTTTCTGACAGTTTTGTTCGGTTTAATTTATTTTTGTGATGATGATGGCATAAATATTTTCCTGCTGTGTTGGAAACTAAAGAGATATGAATAAGATATCATAATAACGACCTCATTTCTTCGTATTCATGAAAACTAAAGCAATGCCAGAGAACACCCTTCAAAATTCTTATGGCCAATAGGTTTTCTCTTCTCTTCCTTGTGTGCTTAATATAGTAGAAGATTAGTAAGTTTTATATCAGTAGCTTTGTCAAAATTTGTGCTCAAGTAATGCTCTTGCTTTTGGCCTACAAACAAATTCAATAAAAATACTATTCAAACTCCAAAGCGTGGGACTCAGGAATACACACCAAAGAAAAATATATGGAAAGTGGGCTAAACGAGTATAATATATTGGCTGTGTTGTATTTTACTTGTTCTGCATGTTGATTTCTAAGGCTTCATTTGGGGATAATTTTTTTACAGCTTTCTGAAGCAGCTTTTTAATACAAAAATAATTGTCAGAAGATGTCCCAAAAAAAGCTTAAGGCTTCGTTTACGATGATTTTTTTTGCTTCTTCAAGTGGCTTTGTAGTACAAAATTAAAATTTTTGTATTTGAAAACAGTAGTCTCAAACTAAGCCTAAGTTATGATACTATTTATCTGCGAAGCAAATGGAATTAAGGATTCAATGGTTATGTTCAACCTTATCCGGATGCCATTATTTGTTGAATATCCTAATGATTTAACAGAATGATCATCATAAACTTTATAGGATGATATGTTGCTTCAGTTTTCATAATTCATTAATACTCTTTTAAATGGATGTTGGCTTCAATTTCACTACTCATTGCTCTGCCCATCAACTGATATTTTTGTGCTTGACTTACTTTTTATAGGTATTTAGAGTAAATTATCATGTGGATAATGTACAAGGCTCTTAATTAATAGACTAATAATTTATTCTGTAGTGATAATTCTTTAATTTATTGGTTGTCTCTGTTCTGTATTTGTTTTTTTTTTTCTTTTAATATTTTTTATTTCATAATTAACCATTAGGTGTATAAACATTTACTTTCATTTTACATTGCAAACTATGTACAGGATAGTTGGTTGATGAAAAAAAATTGAGCCAAACAAGTTTAAGAAAAGAAATAGTGTTTTGGATAGCTTTTTTTACTATTTTGTTTTTCAAACGATAATCACCATTTTATTTGGTTGCTATTTCTTGCTACTTTTTCATTGCTTTTAAAAAATTTCCATCAAATTTTTTTTTGCAAACAAGATAGATAAGTTGCTTTCTCCACTGTAGCTTTATAACAAACTTCAACAAATGTTAGAGCAGTCTCAATCAGATTCTAATTTTTTTATCCAATTTGTGGTGATAATCATTAAATTGCATTAGAAGCACTTTTCTTTATTGAATTGAGCCTTTGTTTAGAATAATTTTTTTTATTGCTTTCTAAATCTGCTTTCTAGTACATAAATTTCTAATTCAAAAAATTTTTGTATTGAAAAATTGTTTAGAAAGCAATAAGAAAGCAGTCTCAAATGAAGTATAAGTTAACAATTATTTAATTTGATTAGAATATATGTAAAATAATGAATGACAATAAAACAATTATTTTTAACAATAATTTATTAAATTTATTTTAAATCTCAGAGAAATTATAAAATAAAGACCTTAATTAACACAATCTAACATCTGATATAGTTAAACAAAGTATATTAAATTAACTACTATGACTCTTTTATTTTTCTTTAGGAATGTTAAGCATATTGATTTAGGTTTGCTAAAATTAAGCTACTCCTGATGGAACCTCTATGTTTATGAATCAAATTTATCTATGATAGGTAAGTACAATTAAAGTTATTAAATTGATTTAATTGTATAATGAAAATTTCATTTATGTTTGGTGGACATTTAATATATGTTTGAGTTTAGATGCTCTGATGAGTTAATGGTGGAAACAAGGTTTAAAATTGCGTAAATAAGCCTTGAGGTTTTTTTCGTCCGTGAGGTAAGGAGTAAGCCTCGAGGTGGTGTGAGGCGTAAGCCTCACGAACGAAGAATTGCGTAAATGAGAATTTAAGTATTCTAGCAGGTAAATAACAGTAAGAGTCTATCATATAATAAAAATATCTAATTGAGAAGTGAAATGAGTGGAAAAGAATAAAATAGATGCAATATCAAACCAAAAATCTGCGGTTAACTCCTTTGAACAACACTCAGATAAATGTTCCTTCATGCGGGTAACTCCTCCCTTCACCACATTATAACAAAATTTGCATTTCAAATACACGTATGTCTTCTCACCGCCTACTACGTCAACCTGTACACTGTACTTCCAAGAAGAGTCCTGCCGCAATGACATATTTGACTTTTCCTTGCCCTTAACGATAATTCCTAATGCTCAAATGCAAAATCAAATAAAAATTCTCAAAAAAATTAAAAACTCTAGATTTTCTATAACTTGAAAATTATACCTTGAATTAAAAAAATACCTAAAACCGATAGTAGAGTTGTCATAGAGGGTGGCCAGACACTAGAACCTTACTGGGGTGAGGCGACGCCAGTAGGAGAGGCGGCAGGAAGGGAGGCCGAGTGAAGCTAGGTGGCAGATCTAGGCGTGCGGAGAACTCCTCCATGCGGTTCGGGTAGCCTAAATGACAGAAGCGATGAAATTGAGTTTGTTAATTAGGAACTTAAATGGGTGGGATTGGTTCTATGAGGCATGCGCCTCACTCAATATTGCACAATTAATCCTCTGAGGCACGCCTCATGGACCGTAAGGTGCAAGCCTCACCTAGACCCAAAATTGCTTAAGCAATGAGGCTCTTGGGGGTTAAATTGTGCAGAGACGCGCCTCAATTTTAAACTATGGGTGGAAACAAATTATTGAAGTCTTTTGTAACCATTGAGTTAAAATTATTTTAAAAATTTTGTTAAGCTTACACCCTACCATGGGGCCTTACGGTTTTCTTCCAGGCCCAATGGCAGGATGTGACATTTATGCTTATTCTGTGGCTCTATATAGGTAAAGGTAAGGAGCCTGCAGTGTAAGTTTAAGCCGTGATGATGGTTTGCTGCTAGTTTAGTTTTACTTCTAGCTTTTAGTTTTTTATTAGTTTTATGTGTATTCTTTTGTAACCTATGGTGGCTATTGTATATGCTTTTGAACTTTGAATCAATATGTAAATATTGACTATGTAATGTAATTATGTTTCTTGTTGTTTATTCCTATTTATATTTTTTCCTGATTGTAATTAGTTAGCTCTGATTATCTATGATTTGATTACTAATGAATTAAAAAAAGAATAATAATAAAAAAAGAAACAAAATTCATTCATTTTAGATCTTGGGATGTCACACTTTATGTGAATAATATGGATATGTTTATAAATTCTTGGAGTGGCATTTTGGTTATTTTTCGCCAAGATCCCCAAAAATTCCATCAATGGTAAATGTTGACTCTCTAATTATAAACTATTCAATAGACATTTAAGTATCTTAATGATATTTAAATAAAGTGATATTAGGCTAGTTGGTTTCCTCTAGTAGAAGTGCCCTTCTTCATTAGAAGCACATAATATTTGAATATTATTTAGTCTGTCAAATAGCATCATGAGTTGCTAACAATTCTCGAGTACTTAACTTGAGACAGTTTTGATACAGACCAAGAAACAATAGGTACCATTAGTAATGTTTTAACGACATATTTATTTCAGTTATAAATTTGTTAAAATTAGAATTTCGATGGTACTAAAATTAATCATCAAAATTTTTTATTCTCATGTTTGGATCAATAATCTTACTTGTTTAATCTATTTTATATACAATTTCATTAATAATCTAAAAAATATTTATTTTATTGTTACAACTATGTTGGCATAAAAATAATTGATTATAATTCAATCACATGACACTTTTAGTATTTTTTTAGGAAGCAATGAATTATTTTCAAGAATTAGCATTAGGATCACAATTCTTTTATTTATGAGTAACAAGTTGCCCATAGTGTAGCTGAGTTACTCATGGGCCCACATAATAGGGGCATTGGTCCCTTCTCTCATTATTTTATTTTTAATTAATTTTTTTTTCAGAAAATTATAAAATAATTATATGTTTTGAAATAAGAATGCCAATATTAATTTTTTTTTTTAATTTTGTGTAATAATTTTCATATTTTTTATTATAAAAATATTTTTTTTATATCGTCAGGCTGCACGGTAAAGAGTAAGAGCACGTGGCGACATTTTATTAGCGTCCGGATGTAAAGCTGCGTCAGGTGTCCGGACCTAATAAAAATTCGCCACACTGGCACATTACAAATTTAGTTAGATAGCTCCTTTTGATTTAATGCATAAGAATTATTGACGAGCTTTGTGATTTAATGCATGAAAAGTACCCAAACATAATTTTTTTTAATATCACATCACATTAAAATACTGTTTGCTTTATTGTGCTCAACTTATTAAATTAATGAAGAAGAGTTTGATCACATGAAAAATTAATAAAAAGATTTCGAAATCTATAGTGTTTCACCGTAATATTTTTTAAATGGGCGTAGCATTAAAAAATATATTTTGTTAATACAAACAATTAAGAAAGTTCAAACCATAATAGTATAATACATTATTTAAAAATAGAAAATACTATTTTAATTTTTATATAGAAAGGATTTAAATATTTTAATATTTATTGATCATAACGAAAAAAAATAATAATAAAACAAATATAAAACGGATTTCGTTGACGGGATGGAATTTATGCCCGATCCAAATGCGATCCCTTTGACGGCTGTTGCTACTGACAGACAGCTTGATAACGGATTCGACAACGACGACCCGTTAGAGTACTGCTTGTAATTTATTCAAACTGTCTGGTCATTCGTCCACGATTCCCACTCCATTACCAAAGCAATAAAGCTCAAGGGCCCAGTGCTGTCGTGCCAGACCCCAAAAGCGGCTTTTAGGGGAGTGGTTTGATCAAATTTGGGAGCCGAAGCTTCACTCATTCAGCTGTCGCGGGACTGGAATTTCTCCCTCGACACCGCGGTCCAGTCGATCGGTAAGGAAAGTGAGGATATGTGAAGGATTTTTAAAGGAAGGTAACTAAATTTCTTCCCTTTTTTCCCGGTTTGTTTAATCTCCCGCATTGTTTATTTGAATAAAATCATTCACATCTGCTTTTTCCAGAGGTGAAGAACCGATCTGAGAGACGTAGGTAGAGTGTCTGTTTTTTGGGGGAATCAGAGCTGCCGGACTGGTTCGTCGGACATCTGATTGAACTGGTATGCTTGTTTTACTTGCCGATGCGTTGAGAGGGAGGGTTTTGTGCAAGGCATTTTGGTTTTAGTGGAGTAGGGGTTTCTGTGTTTTGTGGAGCTGAAGCAAGGGTTTCGAGTTTTATGTCGGGGGATTGGATATATTTGTGAATTTTTCATGGAATTATGTGATTTGTGTCATTTGAAGGGAAGATGTTGTGCAAAGGTTCAGTTTTTGAGGTGTATGACTGTTTTCCTTGTCGATCTTGTTTATGAAAAAACGTAGAAATTGTATACTTATTATTATTATTATTTTCTGCTAAAATGTAGCTTCATGGACGTTACTTGGACTGGTAGTGAGTTTTCCTTTGCGAAATTTTGTTTGTGGCATTTGTATTCTTTTTTTAATATTTCTGTTGTTCTTTTTATTTTTTGCTTGTTTTCTGATCTCGTGTTTATTCTGATTAGAATATTTGTTTTCTTCATGTTAATTTTTCTTCTATATGTTTGTTCCTGTGCCCCCATTTCCTTTCCCCTTACTTTTTTTTCTCTTTTACGGTGATCTAAATTCTTATAATTTTCAAATTTCTTATTCTCCCTGTAGGTGTAGTTTAAAATTTGGTTAAATGACGAGGGCAGCTCGTTCTCTTGGAAGCGTGATGCAAAAGGAGGCAGTTCGGTCAGTCTCATCAGGTGTAAATTTTGCCTCAACTAGGTTTCCAAAGTATACAATTGGACCTAATAATGTTCTTATCGAGCCCAAAGAGGATCCCAAAATGCCCTCACTCAAGGAGATTGTTGCCAAGGAGACTGCCCAACTGCTAGAGCAGCAGCAGCGGCTTTCTGTTCGTGACCTTGCCACAAGATTTGAGAAGGGTCTAGCAACAGCTGCCAAGTTGTCTAATGAGGTTGTTCCTTTGATTTCCTTTGTCTTTGCTACCTATTGTAGATATTCGATCTTTAATTCTGCTGCCATGATTTAAATGCATTGTTTAACAGTTGCCATTTTGTCTAACTAGGTTTCTCCTTCGATTTAGTTTCATCTTTTACTCTTTGCTACCTATTGCTAGTTTTATGTAAGTCATTCTTCTGTAGTCTGTAGATATCAGATCTTGAATTCCGCTGCTACGAGTCAGTTGTTTCGTTTATATACCATATATTCTCTTAAGTCTATTTGCAGAACTCATGTTTCCTCTACCTTTCCTTGATTCCCTGTTGCAAACAATGAATAGCTTAGATTGTTGCTTAGTATCTTAATAGAAACAAATATTGATTTTTTTTCTTCATGCTCACATTTGTCAGATAATTAGATAGGCTAGCTATGATTTTAAATGACATAAAGAATGGAAATTATGATCATTATATTTATTCTGTATTTTGCCAAATAGTCTTTTCTTTTTTGGGACTGTGAAATCTTTAAACGGCCTATAACCAAATTGTTACTTTTTATTTCAGACTCGGTTAAGAGAAGTTGCTTCACTTGACAAGCATGTCCTTTTGAAGAAACTCAGAGATATGCTGGAAATACTAAGAGACCGTGTAGTGGGTCGAAACAAGGATGATGTGGATGAGGCCATCTCTATGGTTTGTTCTTTAGTTTTTTTCAATTCCCATTTATTTCATGCATAATTTCTCTATTTTGATGCCTCATTTAAATGATACTTTTGAAATAAGTTGTTGTTTTATGTTTTATATGGATATTATCTTAGATGGTGTATTTCACATTAATTTTTCATTTTTAATTGAGACTTTCAACCAGGTAACCATTTATAAATACATTACATCAACCTACCTATACACGCTGACCACAATTCCCTCACTTGAAGTCTTTTTGGCATAAACTTGAGGATTTGAAGTAGCTGAAAAATTATAGTCTATTTTTTGGTTGTAGACCTCATGTTAGTTTTTTTTTTTAATTTCTTTTATCTAACGATGAGATATTATTACTTAAATCTAATTACAAAATAAGACACTCCATCAATGCTGAACGGCCAAAAGGCCCAAAAAAGATAAACTAAAGTATTAAGATAAAACCAATGAAGACTCTAGACTTGGGCATCAGTTAACCATAATCGGTCACCCATTTCTAATTAATCATATTTGTTAAATTTTTGAGTAAAATACATCATATATCACAGAATTTTTAAGTAATCTTTCTTTTTACCCATTTAAAGCTACTTGTGATAATGAGGTAAAAGGAAATCTTCATTCTGAAGAGACACATCACCGTTTGTTATGTTAAATTTTACAAGAGGATCTAAATTTGTTTCTATAGTTACTAGTACCAATATGTACAAAATAATGATTCAAATAATTACTTGTATTGTTAGGGGTTGTATCTGAAGAGGGAATTGCTAATATTTTCATTTAAGTGATGGGATATTCAATAATATGAGAAAGTAGAGGGTTAAGGATAGATGACTCCAAATGCAGCCTTTGTGTTAAGAGATCCCTTGGAGGGAAAGAGGAAGGGGCCTCCTTATCCGGAGAAAAACCATTAGGATCAACTTGCATTTGAACATTCAATACATTTGAGATTGAAGCAACTTTTCTAGAATAGAAAAACATAGCTTGCCTTAGAATGATACCCTTATAAAGATCATTTTTTTTCCAATGACTTTCCCTACAAACAAATACATATTATCTTCAAAATCTCAAAAATATTATTTTTCATCAACTCCCACGCCATTGAATAGGTCAAGTGTGTGATTGGAAAATCTATACACAATTTGTTGACAAAAATAGCGCCTAAAGAAATAGGATTTCTTTGTCAAAGATATGCATGATGCGATGGGAAAATGCGATCCAAATTTGTACAATAGGGATTCATTGGTTAAGTTAAATATTGGCTGATTGTTTTAATATTTGATAGGGAAACCTGTTATGAGGATGGATATGCAGGCAAACATAATAGTAATCGACTATAATCAAGAGTATGATGAGAACATAACTTGAGTTAAAATAATGATATATCAAAATAAAATCCCCATTCAAGTTGTGGTTCTTTAAGAATCTTTGATAATCATAAGATTGAGACGACATACACGAATTTACTAACAAAGGAATGCTTCACTGCACAAATAGTCAAGCTCCTATTTGGTTGCTAGGAGATTCAAGCAATTTAATCATTTTCTTTTTAAGGTACATCTACTCTTATTATTTCTCAGGGCAAGTGAAAGATGATATAGCCTTTTTCTGCACCACCTGCACAAAAGATTTTCTACGGGTGAAGGCAAAGCCAACACCTTGAGAAGCACTAGAGAGAGTGTGAGGAACCTAACTGCATCAAATATAGGGTCACCACAAGCAGCTGGTATCACCTTGACACCAACGGTTGGGGGATTAGCCGGCGTCAATAGATCCATTGATGGTGACCCCTATAGGGGGTTACAGTAAAGGAGGCTAGAACCATGGCCAGATTTTTCGCCAATGTCCTAATTTGCCAATGTTATGGGTAGAAGATGGCCAGCATGAGTAGGAAAGATGAGCTAGGGCTGTTGCCTCTATATCCTTGACGATTGGAAGGCAAGAGGATGCCCTGTGCTACCCATAGGCCAGGAAGAAGATGCTGCCTAGGGTTTCAGAGTGTTTCTTTAAAATTTATTTTCAAGTTGTTAGTATGTCCTGTTTTCTATGAGTGGACTGAATCTAACTTCTCGTTTAGTGTAAAGTGGTAAATTGTTTGGCCATAATAAGTTGTATATTGATGAAAAGTTTGATTTCTCTATGTTCAATAGGACATTGTTTATTTGATTTTGTGTTCTATTTGTTACTCAACTGTAATAGGATCTTACTGTTATATATTAATCCGTCGAAAGAACTTTTTTGGGCTGTGAAGTGTCAGCACCGATGTTTACACAACTGGATGGTTGTCATAATCGAATTTTTTCTGCCTTGCAAATCCAATTTCTGTTATTCCGCCATTACATTTTGTAATTTCCAACGCATGAAATTATTTCCATCTTTTCTTCCGTGCTTATCCTTTGAGAAAATTGATTATGCTCTGGGCCCATTGTCATACTGGCTGTCACTTTGAAAAACTTGATCATTATTCATTGACCGCTGAATAATTTTTTTAGCATTTTTAAGTTCTCGTTGCAGCTTGCTTGAATTCATGCAATGTGACCATTTCTTTGAATTTTGAAAAAAAGTTTCTTTTAATTCATGGAAATATATATTTTTTTGGGAGCTCCAATCTTCGCATAGCTGAATGATTGACATAATCAGTAATCCATTTCTTCTGCCATGAAAATCCAATGCCTGTTATTCTGGCATTACACTTTGCAATTTCCAAAGGCATGAAATTATTTTCATCTTTCCTGCATGCTTGAGAAAATTGATTATGCTTTTGGTCCAACTTCGTATTAGATCATGTATGAAACAACTCGATCACTGTTCATTGACCTATGGATGTGTACAATTCTTTGTACGCCAATGACATTTATTTAAGCATTTTGAAGTTCGAATTACAACTTCTATGACTTCATTCAATGTGACCATTTCTCCAAACTTGAAGAACAGTTTCATCTAATTTCAGGAAGTTGCTGTGATCATTCATTACCAAACTGCTAACTTCTATGATGATGAACACTTATTAGTTTGTGTCCATCATTTCTTATGTGGTATATGCATAAGGTAAATCTGTCTTTTGCTTGTTATAGGTTGAAGCTCTAGCAGTTCAGCTCTCCCAAACAGAGGGAGAGTTATTTCTTGAGAAAGAGGAGGTGAAAAAACTAGCAGCTTTTCTGAAGAAGGTAATTAGAGAACATTTTTCCGTATAGGTTGATATAAACTTTGAAAGAAGAAACTTTGATCTTTAAAACATCTACTTTATATGTTTTGCAAATAGCTAAACAACCATTTTCCTATTACATTTTCCATGTATTTTAAGAAAGGAATGTTTCTCTGAATATGCTGACAAATGTGTCCCATTGCCCTTGAGTATTATTTTTCTGTGAAAACTTCAGGGTTAGCATGGTTTTGAATGCATCAACTAGGCATTACTTCGTATATTTCTATCAATTAAACATGCATTTTCTTTTTCTACAACAATATTTTATTGTTTGTCCCTTATGAATGTTCTCAAACTTTATGTATCAAGAGTGATATTGAACAATGCAGATGAGAGGGTAATTTGGTTTAGTAAAGAGCTATATTTCCTAGATTTGCACATAGCTCAGTTGGAATCAAAGGAATAAAATCCCTGCATTTTATGTTCTGCTAAGATTCATTCATGAATTACAAAAAAGTCTGAGTGCTTGAAATCCACTATTCATCTATTTTGGCAGAAATTTTCTTAAAACTAAAGGAAGCCATCTATTAAAAAAAGAAAGAATGAATTTACTTCTTAACTAATAAGGCATGATATTTATTTCCCAATGGAGGATGAATTCTTGAATATTTTGGCATCTTTCTACATCAATTTGGAGGATTTTTTTTATAGTCATCTTTAGCTTCCTATTTTCCCTGCATCAAAATCCCTGCAGTTTATATAAACTCATTGTTATGTTGTCCTCTGGAACTTACGTCGTCTGCAGAGACATCTGATTCCAATTGAAATGCTAGATGCAGAGATTGACTGAATTCAGGACCAATAACTTGATCTTTATTGTTTTGCAAGTATATGACGTGGAGAACAGTTTACCAAAATGATATAAAATCTGCACATTAAAATTGAATCCTACTTCTCATTAACAAGTCAGAGAAGCACGTATCTGGTCCAAAAATAAAGTTTGTATATTGGGATTCAAGCAACATTCTTCTTACAGATTTTTATGCTTCAGCTTCAAAAATAGATGGCAGCTTGAGATTGAAGGGGTGAACAGCAATGTCTCATGTTTTGAAAGTGGAATTTAAGAAAATTTATGCATTGATAAGAGGTAGAGTGATTGATATAAAAAGGAAAGACAAAAAAAATGATCTCCTTGAAGTCCTAACATTCTTTCATGGTTGTAGTTTTCATACTAGGTTTGCACTTTATTTTGTTTTTAGGATTTTTGTGTCAATTTGAAGCTCATCTGATGGGACTTGAGTTTCTCTATTTTTTGGTTTTCTCAAAATCAATCATGATTTCTAAAGGTGCATGTGAAATCCAAAAACTTATTATTTTGAATTTCTTAAGAAGGATCACATTTTTTACTTTCATGGATGAACATTTATTTTTTTATTATGTAAGAAGAAGTATATTTTTTGTGGAAGAAGAATGAAACAAAATATGAAGTCAAGTTATAAATGGACTAGGTTGTAAGACCTACTAATTGACTACTTCTAATAAAAGCCAAAATACCTGCTTTACGGGCTACTTTCAATGAAAGTCGTAATTCCTGACCCAAATTCAAATGCTCGGGCTACTTCTAGGAGAAGTTGTAAGACCCGATTCAATTTAAACATCTGGGTAACTCCTAAATTAAACTATAAATCCCAAATTAAATTAACTTTTGGATATTCTAATAGATGTAAACACCAAATCACCTTTTTTAAACCTAAACCAAATCAATCTACATCTAATCACTTTAGTTTACTCGAAATCCATAAGAGGAGACAACCCATGGCTGCTAATCATATTTATTGGATATTACGGTCAATAATTGCTAGTGTTGGTTGACTGAAACCTATGGTATACCATGAACGACATAAATATGGGATCTTGATCGGGTCTATCTCCATTTTCTCCCATAATGGAGTCTAAAACACCAAAAAAGTATTCATCTTTATTCGAAAGTTCTCTCTTACGTATTAAGAGGGGTAATTAACTATAAGTTCTTGTGCTCATGAGAAGTAAGAACCCAAATTTAATTAAACCATGACACTACCTTAGGAGAAATCTGATTAACTACAATGTATTAAGGGTAATGGAATCCTATGTCTGCAAAGCGGGATTCATGCCGAAGAATTATTTTTCTTGAGCCAACAACAAAATAGACCTCAATCAATCAAGTTCCAAAGGAAATTTCTTTAGAAAGTTGATGCATTTATGACATTGTAATCTAGTTGGCCATTAATTCACCCCTTCCAATTCAAAGGTGGTGATTTCCAACTTATAACTTTACTGATATTTATAAGTGTTCTCTACCTACAAGTGGAGATGTAATTGGCTCTTTTGTTGATGTGAAAGGTTAATTCCCTTAGATTCTAGTCAAGCAACTGAGGAAAGTCTTCGGGCAACTTTAAAACAATCTTTCTCTGAAAACCCACAATGCTCTCTTTGAAATTCGAAAAGTGCTAATAGAAAATATATCCAGTGCATGAGCCTTTTAAAGCCCACACTTATGAATGCTTTACAAAACTTATTTAATATATTATGCTGCAATATATATTATATTATTGTTTACATGTTGAATATATTGTATATGTTATTATCATGTAAAGCTTGTGTTATATTGTTTAAGATCTATGGTTTGTACATGTTAGTTGCCATTTGCTTTTACACACACATACATACATATATACATATATATATATATATATATATAGTTGTATGTGTATATTCACAGACGCTTGTATATAGGCACAAAAATATTTATGCATTTAGTATACACAAGTAATTCTATCACAATTAACAAGAGCTTTTACTTCTTCCATTGTTTAAAAATAGGGAGTAGCTCTTCAGCAAATAATTAGAAGTGACTTACGTAGTGTCTCATTCTCCATATGGAGAAACAATGACACCTTTAGCGTATATTCACAAACACTTGTATATAGGAACAAAAATATTCATACATCTAGTATACACAAGTAATTCTATCACAATTAACAAGCACTTTACTTCTTCCATAGTTTAAAAATAGAGAGTTCCTCTTTAACAAATAATTAGAAGCGACTTCCGTGTTGTCTCATTCTCCTATTTGAAGAAACAATGCACCTTAGCGTTGTATGTGGGCGGGGAGCTAAATGCTTAATAACCCAAGCTATTGGTGAACACTACTATAGCCTATTGACCACTAATCACCTCATAGCCCCACGCACGTTCACTCTCAAACGACACAACCTTATGCCAGAAAATGCCCTGCTCACGTAACTCCCACACACGACAACTACAAACCCTAGACGAATCGCTCATCTCCCCCTACTCGACTCTCACGTAGACAAAAATCGAAGGCCAGAGCTCTCATTCTCCCTCTCAATTTCTCTTTGCCGAAGCAAGCGTAGAGGTTGATCAAAGCCTTCCTACCTGTTCATGTGATTCGACCTCAATTAGTAGCCATTGGTCTCTCGCATGGGACTCAGCTTCCCATCTTCGGCCCATCAACTATTTGACCTGCGATTTCAGCAGGGCACACAACCCCTCCGTTCTATCCTCAGCTCACAAACACACACAAGCCAGCCCGGTCCCTCTGTCGCTCTCTGGTTGCCACTTGCAAAAGACCTGACCCTAGCCATGATCTTCTTTGCCCTTCCTACGCCCGTCCTTCAACTTTAGCCACTCGACCTGATCCTCCTTCTAGTTCTGCTGCCTGATCCCAGCCAAAATTCACAAGCCCTGTTTTGTCCGCCGTGTCTCCTGCCCCGACTGAATCAATCACTGTCCCGTTTGTCCGGCTTCTGTCCACTGACCGTGAGTATAAGAATTTATTGAAGGGATGTTTGTTTAAAAAAATAAAAAAAGGAAAAAAAAAGAGAAAAGGAAAGAAAAAAGAAGAATAAAAAGAGTGAAAAAAAAACAAGTATCACAAATTGAAGAACCGAAGATCTGTGCTAGGATTAATTGTTTTCAAGCCCTCATGCCATCATATCTTTGATCCGGCCAAACATATTTAAAGACAAGTGCCTTCCAAACCTCCCTCTGTGAGGAGGCTGCTGAAATTTCAAATGACAAATGATCACCCACATAATTAATTTCAAAGGATTTTTTGTCGTTTTAAATGATTAAAAAAAAATTGAATTGTGTCATTTCAATTGATTTAAAAATAAAAAATTATATAATAATAATAATAATAATAATAATAATAAATACGGGAGGCTGGGCATACATTAAGAAATGCTTATTGACACTTGGAGCTGTTATATCAAAATTGATCGAAGGAAGAACCAGTCATACCACAGACACTTTTGCTTCAATCATCATTAAGTGGTCAAGGGGTGTGTATACTTATATGCACTGTTACTCCATTATCGAGCAATGCAGAAGAAACACAAAATATTAAAATTTGCTCATGATGCAAATTGCATTGTGGTTTTGGCATCTCATAACAAGATTATTGTTGAAAAATCATTGATAAAGAAATATCGATTTGAGATACGTTGCCTGAAGGAAGAATTAGAATAATTGAAAAATAGTATGTTCTTTGTTAATGGTCTAAAAGATAATGGAGATGAAATTGTACTTACTAAAGCAAAATCTTGAAGATGGTCATGTGAATGTAATCTAGGCTTGAGCAAGTAGCAGAGGCTAAGGCTACTCTACTAGGAATGATTCAGAGAATAGTGAAGCTGATTTTGGTTTCAACAAAAACTGTACATTCCCCAAGATTACGGCAATATCCTGTTCTAAGAAGAAGACTTTCTTTTGCAGAAGTGGAGCCTTCATCTCTTCCATTTAGAAGATATGATATTGGATCATGAAAATAGTGAAAAGCAGATTATTCATCAAAGGAAAAGAAAACGAACGGAAAGCCTGGCTCTTAAATTGGTTTAGGCTTAGGAAACAAGATAACGTTGTCACAAGTTCTAAAGGTGATAAGTCTAGTAGCATGAAATTACTTACGACACCTTCAATCCCCCAGGTTGATTGTGCAAACCTTCCTTCATAACCAAGAATTTCAAATTCTTTACTCTCTGTGAATTCTCCTATCAATGTTCTTGCAGAAGCCTCACTGAACGAAGATCTTGTCTCCGAAAATGTTTCACTCCAAGAAACATCGTGGATTCACTAAAACTGTTCAAGAACCCCTATAATAATTTCGATCTATATGCTAAAATACACTCCGCTTGTATTTCATCTTCATATCTAGCTCCTAATTGCAATATCTGAGAATGCTTCGCAAATTTGCTAAAAGTGCTCAAACACTTCGATGATAGTTGCGTTGATGGGAAATTTTAATCGGAGAGAGCTATATAATTTTCATAATATCCTCAAAAGTATAAAATCATTCATTCAGAACATAAATTCAAAATCATACCAATTGTTTAAATTCTTGAAATGAAATATTCCACATGTGCTCTGAGTTTTATATTAAGCTCATAAATGCAAGATCTGAGAATGCTTCTAGGATTCACTAAAAAATTCAAATACCTCGATAATAGCTTTGAGATCTATACGCTAAAACAAGTTCCGCTTTTGCTCCTATTTTTATGTCATGCTTCTAAATACGAAATCTGAGAATGCTTCGTAGATTTATTAAAAGTGCTCAAACACCATGATGATGATTGCATTGAATGTAAATCTCAACCAGATGGGTCAATTCTCAAAGCCTATAAAAAATTCAAAATTTAATATCTGTTAAATTCTAAACATTTAAATGGAAATTTAATTTCTAAAAATTTAAAACTAAAATTCATCCACACTTCGCAACGGTTTTGTGAGGATGATGAATTGAATAATAACTTCAGCTCACAAATAGAAGATGTCTTGTTGTATGATTACTACAACACATTTTCAATTAATTTCTCGCCAGCGGGGACGTGGCCCGTGCCTTCTGATCGGATGATTTTATCACAAAATTACACCATTATATTACAGTCAAAGTTCGTATGCTCCCTAATGGTTAAAAGCCTCTAAAGTAATGTATTATAGGGTGTGTTTAATAAGATATTAAGCTCTTTGTTAGTAATGTTGACTTAAATTCATCTCCTTAGGCAAACATCCACCCCAGATTTACAAAGTATTCTTGGACGAAGCAACTCATGGTTGCCTACAAGATTCTTATGTTAGGTTGGGTTGTTTACTTTCTCTGACTAAGTAGACAAAGGACCATGACAGCCCGGGATGACAAAATCATGGGATCTTGATTGGGCCTGTTAGCATTCCCACATCACTCGCTTTAAGTATATGGTGATAAATTTCAAATTATAAATTCTAAGATCCAAAACCGAATTCAAACCCTAAAATTATTGCTATTATACACTAGGTAATTATTACGACCTATTTAGTGACTAGCCTTAATCGCGAGTTCTATCTCGTTATCGGGAGGGATAATTAACCATAGGGGCATCCGCATATGAGAAACCAGAACTCAGTTCTTAAAGTCCATGCAAAATGAGGACGAAATTTTAGGGCAATGTCTTATCTTAAAACCCAATCTGCATTCTAAAAATTTACCCAAGAATCTTAACCCGTTAAAACTCTCATCGTCAACAAAAGAGGGCGCGGAGAGATCGGGGCGTGAAATTTTGGAGCTCACATATCCTCCAGACCTGTCTTGCACATTATGGAGGGGCTCCACTCAGAAATATAAAGAGGCTACTCTATTTTGATAAATAATATTTTTTCTGGTTAAGGGTTTAACTGTAGTTATCCTATGAAATGCATTTAATGGCAATGCAATAAAATTTTTTTTGTAAACAAGTGTAACAAAACTCTCATGCTAGCTTTTAAGTATGCTTTAGGATTTAAATGGATCTAGGAGAAGAGTTAATTTCTTAGGTATGTAAAAATTTAGTTCTTGAAGCTTGATGTTGATTTGTCAGAGACTGCTTTCATTTTTGGGCCAATACATGTCATGATACTAGAATTCCTCCGGCTGCCAGTATGAAAGATTACCGTATTTCGTAAGGATGTCTTTTGAAGTATTGTTTCAAGTAACTCTAGAACTTGGCAGAAACTACCGTAAAACCAATGAACATAATTTTCTTTATGATTGGGTTTATTACATGAACACTGGGTCAGTGAACGGAAATATGACGCCCGAATGGAGGAAATTTGAAAGGGAAGGAACAAATTATTTTTAGTTTATCAAAATAAATTGGGAGGAAGGGCACCCGTTTTGGCTAGACACAGTTTGGCTTTGAATGGTAAGAAATGAAAGATGGGAGGGACAAAGGAGGAGATGGGTTTGGACAAAATGCCATGGTATAGGTTTCTATTTTTACTTGTTTTAATGATCGTGGCTGGTTTGGAAGCTTGGAATAGTATTTATTTGGATTTTGACAGTGAATGCATTATGTAATAACATACTGTTAATTTACTGGAGAAGGAATTTCAATCTAAAATGCCATAGAACCTGCTTATGCAATAACTTCATTTTTAACCCATCAGGGATACCTTTCTACTTGGAAGCTTCACGTGTACTCCTTTCAATCTTAGCAGAGTGGTTCAAACGGTGAAGGTTCTCTAATGAGTCCATTAGACAGGAAGTAAGGCTGGACATATAATTGGGCTTCAATTTTTCTAATCCCCTTATGGTCTTTTTTTTTTTTGTGACATCTTATGTGGAGTAATTTATGCAACCTGAAGGAACACTAAAAACATTTTAATCAATAAAAATACTATGGCACCAAAAATAGAATTTAGTTCATTATTACATTGAGCAGCATAATGCATGACCTTGTACTATCTAGCAGGAAATGCAATGAATTGGTAGGATTGTATACATAACATAACTTAGCAACTGTTGAAGTTTTCTGTAGTATATATATAATCTGCTTTATTGTTCACTGCTCCTTATGACTAGGTTAAAATCATTCAGGATAAAGTAATCCTTCCAAAGTAAACCAGAAAGAGATGGTAAATCCAAAATGCTGCAAAATCTGTATACAGTTAACCAAAACTATGTTAATTTTTTTTTTTAATTTTAGTTTCTTGCATCATATATATATTCCTTTTATTTTTATGATATTGAATGATACATGTGCTTAAGGGTCAATCTCAATTCAGGCTACTGAAGACGCGAAGAAAGTGGTTGAGGAGGAAAGGGCTCATGCTCGAGCAGAAATTGGCAATGCCAGAGCAGCAGTGCAAAGAATTGAGCAAGCCCTTAATGAACGTGAAAAATTATCCGAAATTGCAGAGAAACAAGTTTGTATATTACATGAATTTTTTAATATAGTTTATTCTAAAGTTCTGTTAATAAAAAAACTATATTTAATTCAATATCACTTTGAAAATCATATATTTATTTTTACAAAAGGTGTTCTGCATTGTAGACTTCTTATTCATCTCATTTATGCATATGTTGATTTAACTGCTATAATTTTCTTAATCTCTCTTATCTTATCATGTTTATTAGTTTATTTTGTAAAATGACAAATGTTCTGAATACCTTATTTTTGTAGCTGTTATATCGTATGATAGTTGTTCCATCACTTTTTTTTATTGAAGCTCCAGAGTCCAGACTGACACATGATGTTCTTATTTAACCTGCAATTTGGTGTTAATTTTGTTGTAATTATAATTACTTGGTATCTTCTCCAGCTTTCTACTTTTGCCATGCATCTTATTCTCCATGTTGGTGTAAAGCCAATCATAACAAGTAACGGCGACATTGAAAGGCCTAATCCACTTATTTTTCCTCTGCGCCACCTGCTCTGACCTCAATGGTCTGCTCCACTTGTACTGACCTTAACGGTCCAGGAATATTCCTCCAATGGCTTATAAAAACCATTGGAAGTATAATGCAAGATATCTTTCAGCTCAACACTGTTCATCTTCTTCCTTCTAACCTTGTCTTTGCAGGTTTCTTAGCATGGTATCAGAGCAATAGCTCCACAACAAACTCTCACTTTTCCAATGGCGGAGCAAGGAGGATCTTCCCAAACTCAAACCTCTGCTCCTCAACCTCAGAATTCCTCTACCCTGTCGGCGTCCATGGTCGACTTCACAGTTCCGCCTCCGCTTAAGTTTCTAATGTCCAATCTCAAACTCCTGGTTCACACTCAGGTCACAGTAGAAAACTATGCAATCTGGAGGTTACAAATCTTTCAAGCCTTCTCAACAAATGGTTTCGAAGGCTACATCACCGGAGAACAACAATGTCCCAACTCACCCAATGATCAAAAACTGTGGAGATTAATTGATCAAAATCTTATCTCTTCTCTGATCTCTACCATTTCACCTAGGGGTGTCAATTTTTGACACGACACGAAACACGACCCGAACCCGACCCGGAAAAATCCGGGTTCGGGTCAACCCAAACCCGAAACGGGTCGAGTTCGAGTTGAAGAAATCAACCCGTTTTAAAAATCGGGTCGGGTTCGGGTTGACACGGAAACACGAAATCGACCCGAAAGTGACACGAAAACTCATATTTAACCCGAAAATCCGAGTTTGACCCGAAAAACGAAGATTGACCCGATTTTTGACCCGAAAACTTGCAATTTTGGGTCAATTCCGGGTCATTCGTGTCGGGTCGGGTTGACCCGGACCCGAATCGGGTCGGGTTCGGGTCTGGAAACCTGACCCGTTTTTAAAAACGGGTCAGGTTCGGGTTGACCCGAACAGTGCCGGGTCAGTTCCGGGTTCGACCCGAACCCGACCCGTTGACCCGAATTGACACCCCTAATTTCACCTTCGGTATTGCCGTATATACTTCACCTCAAGACCTGTCATGAGATCTGGACAACATTAGAACTTCGCCTGCAACCTTCGAACAGGTCACGCGTATTGCAGCTGAAAAATGAGCTCCACAATGTTCAGATGTGTGATCAAACCATTCCACAATATCTTGCCCAGATCAAATCTCTGGTTGACAACATTGCTGCCGTCAGATCACACATTGAAACAGAGGATATCATCCTCTACACTTTGAAGGGATTGCCTCCGTCCTATAACCCCTTTAAAGCAGCTATCCGCATCTCTCCCCATACTATCTCCCTTGAATCTCTATACTCGTTGCTGTGCAGCGAGGAGATAAACCTCCAGTTGGAGATACAACAAGACTTAATGATGCATTTAGATTTTTGCATTAATTTTTTGTTATGAATAATATTAGTTATATTTTCTATTTTTTGTTTTTTATGCTATCCAATGATGGTGGTAAATCCAATGATCATGGTAGGGAAGAGGTTTGGATGTTTGCTTCCTTGGGTCTTGCCGGCTTGGGGGGTCCTTTTTGTCCTTGAATGTTTTGTGGTTTCATGTGGGTTTTGGCTGTTTCGGCTTTGAGCTTAAGTAGTTAAAACATTTAGTTGTGCGCAGCTATCTAAATATCTATGGAAAGTAGCTCATTATGAGCTGAGTCTAATTATAAATATTAAAGGTTGGGAGCAAGGAATTTGAGTGGGTGGAACTTTATCTGTTCACATTCTTCTGAAATTGAGTTGCTTGCACTTTTTTTTTCTCTCTCTTGGAATTATGTTCTCTCGGTCTGCTGACTTGCTTCGCGGATGTGATGTGCCTCTTCGGGTGCTGTCTTCTTTTCCGCTGCTCGGGCATCGCTTTGTTGATCGTGAATTGATTTGCCGCCTGGTTTCCTGTGTTGAAACAACGGCTTGTGCTGTTCTTGGAGGTTTCGTGGGGCTTTGTCTTACGTGACTCTTGGGAATTCAGCGGGAATATGACTCTTGGCTTTCATTATTATGGAAATGTTTGGGAACTTTGGCCTGTTATGTTCACCCCCTCTTTTGGCTATATATATGAGTATTTGGAAAGAGAAGAAGGTGAATATTGAGAGCAAAGTGCCTAGATCCGCGGGTTATCTTTTGGAAAAGCTTGAGAGCTTTGTCCACCCTTTCCCTCCTCTGGAAAGCTTGCGAGCTTTCTCCTCTTTCGTTCTCGGCTTCTCTATAACCTCTTTCTTCTCTACGCAAGTTCCACTCCACCTATATCTTTCTTCTAGTTCTTTTGGTGAAGTTGTTGGCTGTTTTTTGTTGGTTGTTTTAGCGAGGTTGTTGGCTGTTTCGTGAAGTTGTGGACGGTTTTTGGTGGCATTTGCTGCTGAAGTTGAAAGGACATTGGATACCCTTAGATGTGGTGGACCCTTGGTTTGCATATCTAAACCTTATTTTAAAATATATTCCTACAATCGGTGCATTTGAGGAGTACTCTTGTAGGATGTTCTGAGGATAGCCTTTTTTTTAAAAAAATTGTTTCTTTGTTAGTTTTTTTTTTGTTAGTCGTTGGAAGTTGTCTTTTTCCTATTCTGAAGTTAGTTGTTTTCTCTAACCTATTTTGTTCTCTAAGTAATGTCTTAAATTTATAAAAGTAAGATTTGATTCTCTTTGTTGTTCTCTCTTTGTGTTTTCTTTAATTTGCTTACATCACTTAACCACAACCGGCGACGTTCAGGCTCTATACTCCTCACGAGGAACAGGCGGAAACTCTGCCTCTAGAACCAACAGAGGAAGAGGCGGCAACTCCAGCTCAACACCGTCCAATTTCAAAACTCCTCAAACCAGTCGCACCTCTCAACGTCCTACCTGCCAGATTTGTGGGAAAACAGGCCACTCCGCCCTCTCATGCTGGCACAGATACAACTCCAATTACACAGAGTCTCAAAACTCAAGTTCCAGAGCCTACATCGCTCATTCACAATCCCAGCCCACCACCGACTGGATACTAGACTCTGGAGCTTTAGCTCATCTCACCCCTAACATTGTCAATGTCCAACAACCAGCAACCTATCATGGCGGAGACACTATCTCAACTGCAAGTGGATCGTCACTGCCCATTCACCATAGCGGGTCTGGTCTGCTTCCCCTCCCTGACAGCAATCGTAAGCTCAAACTATCCAGACTTCTCCATGTTCCATCTCTCTCACGACCTTCTATCAATATCAAAACTCGTTAATGATAATTTTTGCTCTGTCTCCTTTGATCCCGGCGGTTACATCATCAAGGATCTTCGGGACAACACAACACTCCATCATGGCCATAACCACAATGGCATTTACCCTCTTCGAGCATCGGCAACCACTAAGTCATCCGCTCTCCACACAACAACAACTTCGGCCATCATCTGGCACGCTCGTCTCGGTCATGCTCACCCTCGTGCAATGGCTGCTTTATCTCCTTTTATTCCAGCTCTAAATAGTAGTTCATTTACCTTGGTCTGCACTTCCTGTAACGTGCCTAAAAGCCATCATCTTACTTTCCCTAAGCAAGCAAATCATGTAACTACTCCATTTACCTTAATACACTCAGATGTTTGGGGTCCATCCCCGATTTCCTCTCTAAATGGCTACAGATATTACGTTGTGTTAATTGATGATGCGACGCACTTCTGTTGGATATATCTAATGCACACTAAAAATGAAACAATAATTAAATTCCAACAATTCATGCGAATGGTTCATACTCAATTCAAAAATACAATCAAAACCTTTCGGTCCGATGTCGGAGGGGAATACTCCAGCCACGATTTCAAGAACCTTCTCCTCACCCACGACATTCACCATGAATTCAGTTGTCCTAACACACCCCAACAAAACGGTGTCTCCGAGCGCAAACACAGACACCTCCTCGAAACGACCCACACCCTTCTTCATGCCGCTCGTCTTCCCTTCAGATTTTGGGCTGAAGCCCTTCAAACATCCAATTATATCATTAATCGGCTACCTACCTCAGCACTCAACTTCCAAATTCCCTTCATCCTACTCCACGGCAGGACTCCCAATTATGATCATCTCAAATCTTTCGGTTGCCTATGCTTCCCCTGGCTTCAACCTCAATCTCCTCACAAACTCGCTCCCAGATCTCTTCCTTGCATCTTCCTTGGGTACTCTCCTCATCACAAGGGATATCGCTGCTTCCATCAACCAACAAACAAACTATACATATCTAGACATGTCAAGTTCCATGAACACCAACTAACTCCCCAAGAAACTCCAATCAACTCTTCCCCTACTATACCCACCACATACATTCCTCCAATGCTACTAACTCCAACCTCTGCCTTATCCAATTCTGCCACTTCAGCTCCCTCTCAATACAACACCATACCCATACCAAGTCCTGAATCACCCCATGAACCTCACTCATCACCTCTACCCTCCGTCCCACCCTCAATTCCACAAGACCACATAATCAAACCAACCATCCCATATCCCATGGCGACCAGATCCAAACGGGTCATCTAAACCC